GCTGTCCCAAAGACAACATACAGTCAAACTTGTCTTCTAGTGTGCAGGGTTTATTTTTGTGGGTTATGTATATGTTTTCACGGATGAGCGACAAGAACAAAGAGTGTTATTTTCTTCACCAGATAGAATGTTGAAAGAACTCATCCATGTAGGTTTGAAAACGAGAAAATGGATTTTTTGGAGCTAAAGCCGAAGGAGTCATTCATTCAATAAACAATTTTATTCTAAGTTTGGCCGCAGGTCTGCTGGTGTCGTCACGGCGCAGTAACAACCAGTCTATGAGAGTTTGTATAAATTAAATAGAGTTTGGGTAGAAGATAGGATGTGTAGTACGGTTTGGTATCTTATATGGTGTAAACCAAGTGTTTGGTTTAGTTAAGTCTCCTTGATTGAAATACCGCAGACGTAGGTGGAAAACAGAACTGGGTAAACAAATCTCGTGTGTGTTGTTCTTCTTTGCACTCACTCGCCTATCGATCTGTGCACGAACACACTGTTGTTACAACCACAAGAAAACCACGTGTTCAAAGCCATATTGATTACTGACGGTTTTATATTTTCACTGCGCATTAAATTTGGAGGCGTTCGACTTCTTTGGGACCGATCGCGATTTCCAACATCAGTGGTCTGAATAGATTCATCATGTATATTATGACATTAGGATTCAAAAATCACATCTTAGAACCAGGAATCTTTAATTTTACATCGATGATAATGATATATGTAAGGTAGTGATCAATCAACAACACAAAAAATGTAAAAAATAAAAATGGAACCCTTATTGATTTGAAGGGCATGTGGGCAGATTCCACAGATTTCTAATCGATCGTTCCCAAATGACTGAAATCAAGTTCAAGAATGCATATGTACATGGGAAAGACAGTCGATTTGATTTGGTCCGGTCTTAGTCCAAGAGGGAATCATGAAGTATTTATATATTTAAATTTCATATATAGAGAGATTTTAATTGGAGGTGATATTCCATTATTGAGGCTGTTATAAATGGGCTAAGATTAGATGGCTAGTAAAGTCGATGCCCAAGCTAAGGAATCTAGTCAATATATAAAATGGTGATCGATCAAGAACTAACTCCCAAAGATTGGTCCTCACCCCTCAGCCCTACAAATTATTAAGTAAGGGCATATCTACGAAGCATATTTGTCCTTGTACAATCTACTCCTTTGTCTCATCAATCTTTTCCTTGTACACACATATATAAAGACAATGTATATATATATATATATGTGTGTATACTTTGTCTGAATATATTATATATGTTGGGGATCTTTACATTCTAATTATTTGTGATTTAATTAATATAAGTGTCACAAATTACCTCTGTTAAAAGTGTGTATAATCGAATACATATTGAATATGTTCATCCAAGAATTTTTTGTCATGTTTCTCGATTAATATTTTAAAAAATATAATATATAAAAATATATTTACACAAAATATATAATATATACCACCCCCTCCATTCCACCTTTCATGTTCTGAGTAGACACGATAATTTAAGTAAAGTAAATAATTAAAAAGTACATTAATAAAAATAATTATTATATAATATAAATAATTATAAATTAAGATTAAGATAACTAATTAAGTTAACTAAAATTAAAAAATTATTAAAAAAAATTTATTGATTACAAGATTTAAAATTAAAGTGTATAATTATTTATTTATTTTTATTTTTTAAATCAATAAGATGAAAATGACCAAAATATAAATAATATAAAAATAAGATGGGACAGTGGGTGTATAAACTAAAAAAAATTAATAATTAACACAAAACAAACACACCTAAATTTAGTTGAGCAAACATATATTATATTAATTTAAATATTCTACCGGTAAGTTATAAAATTTAAATAGGTAAATTAATACATAATACTTATAATGTAAATAGTATAATATTATCATTCAAATTATATGCCGAAAATTGTAAAATTTAAAATATAATTATATGTATAAAAATATTAATGATAGACAAATATCTATTAATTATAAAAAATTATAATATATATATAAATATAAGATATCATTATAAGAATATTAAATTTTAAAATAAAAATATAAAGGATCAATTCAATTAATGATTACAAAATTTCAAAATTAAAGCTCAGATGTTTTGCAAATAACGTTTTGAATAACTTTTAGCTTATTTAACAACTTTTAGTTGTTTGATCAGTCAAAAAGCTAATTTAGGTGTTTGGTAAATTAGCTTTTTGGAATAGCTTTTAGGACCAAAAAAGCTAATTTCTGAAAAACTAACTTATCCGGTGTTTTGAAATAGCTTTTTCTAGTAATTTTTTTTTATTCTTATGCCCTTAAAAATTTATTATACATTTTACACAAATAAATATATTTTGATTATTTATTAATTATATTAGAATATTTTATTATATTATAGTTTTACTTTTATAAATTTAAAATAATTAATTTTTATATAATTTTTTTTTAATTGTAAAATATATAAATTTATTAAAATCAACATAAAATAAAAAATATAAATATTAATAATTTATTTTTTATTAAAATTACATTATACTAAAAATAAATTAAATAAATTAAATTTATTAAAAATTATAAATATAATGAACTAATCGATAACTAACATAATAAATATATACACGAAAAATTTATTATTTTATATTTTACATCATTTTCAATAAAAAACTATTTATATATTTTAATAAAAATATATTATTTTTTAAATCTAACTGCAGTAAAAATAAATACTTTTATAACACTTTTATAATTTTCAATAACTAATAACAAAAAATTTTAAACATTCTAAACTAAAAAAAACATAATTGAATATATTAGAAACAAGAATAAAATAGAAATGTCCTCAATTGTCATTTTACGTATAAACAACTAATATCAAACAGTTGTTTTACCAAACATTTTAATACAAATAGCTAATTGAATCAGCTACTCAAACTAGCTAATTAAATCAGCTAACAACTATAAGCTAATTGAAACAACTAACAGCTATTATCTAATTGGCAAACACGCCCCAAATGTTCAAGATAACTTAATTTATTTTAGTTTCAGATTAAACACTGAAACTTGGTAATTAATTAAAAATATCACCAATCTAACCTTTATTTGTAAATATTATATTAAATTATTACTTAATCGCTATAATGCAAAAAAATGTATATATATATTTTAATGTTTGTTCTTAGATGATTTCTGACATAATCATCCAATAGTCCTGCAATTAAATAATTTTCATAAAAAAAAGGGGTAAATAATCAATGGGAATCATAATAATAAATAAAAGGAAATAAGAACAATAAAGCAATAATAGTGTCTAAGTCAGTATCAGCTAGCCTACTCACCTCTCAATACTTCCAATGAGATGGTAAAGTATAGCAGTAATTTTTTGAAAGTGATTAATATATAAACACTACACAATTTTTGTTTTCGTGGAAAATGTTACTAATTATTATTATTCTTTTTTATTGAATTTTGATTAATATTTGCAAGATAGTCTTTATGAAAAAACGGTGAGATATTGAACATTAAGAAAGTAAGGATAAGATGGATATGTTTCGAATTGGGGAAAAATCAAGAAATAAGTATGTTGATTTCTTGAGGTGTGTAACTCGATTGTATCAACATATTTTTGTACTTTAATTAAGGGTTTTGATAGTAAACCTTGCTTGGGTTGGAGTCCACATATGTAGATCCTTTATGACTAAATTGGCTTATCATTTCTTTGTGTTTTTGTTATTCTCTATCACCAATATATATGTGTATTCGTAGTTTGATCTGAGAACAAACAATCGGTCTGTGTCGTGAGAATTTTCTATTTTTTGTTCTTAGTACTGAGATATTATTGCTGTTTGGTTTTGATCGATTTGGGGCCAACAGAAAATAATAGAATTTGAATGCTCAAAGAAAATCATAATTGATAACAAGTTAATCTAGCCCTATGATGAAGCCCATTCATGAACACTTTTATTTCATTTGGGGAATGCATTGAGAAAAAGGAGTTGGAGTTTCTATTCATGGAATCAAGAAATTAAGTTGATGATTGTGTTTATGAAGTCATAAAAGATTGAAGTGTTTTTAAAGATATGAATTGCTCTTTTTAAGTGATATATCAAATTCAAGAAGAAGCATATTAAAATATAAATCTGATTTGTTACCATTGCCAAGAGATTTAATCACAAGTGCCAATTAATCATCCAATAGTCAAAATACATTGATGTATTTTTCAATGTGGTAAATGGCTTGGTTGTATATAAATATTTAAAACTAGTGTAGAGTTGATTCATGAATAATAATAGCTCAATATCAATGTATAATTACTTGAACAAAATAAGGGATGTACAACAACCAAATATAGGTCAAGGATAAATGAGTGTAGCAAGAATTTTCAAGAACAAAGGCAATACCAAAACCCATGGACATATATCAGTCTTTTTGGCCGAATAAAATTTGTATCGTTCTTATATCAGTCTTTTTAGTCGAATAATATCTTCATAATTTTTATATATGTCTTTTTGGCTGAACTGTGTAAGATTTGTATCGTCTTCACATAGACTTTTTTTTTTTTGCAAAATCCTTGAACATCTGTATCATCCTCGTATAGGTTTTTTTGGCCAAACCAAGTAGGATATATATCATCTTCTTTATTTTTTTTAGGCTTTCATCGTAACTTGCTTTCTGAAACAATCAATCAATAGTAAAATTTCCTTATAGCAAGACTGATATGATAACACTTTATAGCAAAAAACAATAAAATCTTGGGATTTAAAACTTTATTATCATCAAGAACATTTCATCATTTCTTATTAAAAAAAAAAAGATTAAATAAAACAGAAAACACAAACCACAAACCACTTAAACAACCAAACAAAACAAGAATCCAAATGTTCCTCCCTCTTGATAATCAACAAGCAAAAGACTCAAAATCCCAAACCCTAATTATAACATAAGCATAAATAACAATTAAAAGCTTGCAAATGTATAAAATAAATCCCTCAAGGGAAGAACACACTCGACCACATCGATCCATTACCATTCCCATCATTAAACCCCGCCATCAACATGTCATCCGCACCACCTCTGCCGCCGCCAACCGCGCCACCATAAGAACAATCCCCAATCTGCCGTTGATCATTATTCCCCACCGGATTCGCAATCCAATCCCCAAACCAATGCTGCTGGCCCGGCGCCGCCTGATCTGCCACATTCCCTGCCGTGGCGACATCCGCCGCCGCCTTCTTTATCCCATCAATCCTCTTATAAATCTCCTTCAAGTTCTGATCGATGAGCCATCCGAGATCGTTGAGGTCCGGCAATGGCAGCCCCTGGAGGGCCTTTCCGGTGAGGCACTGGAACATGAGGTGCGTGATCTCCTTCTCCCGATTGTCCTTTTGCACCTTCTTCAGCTGATCCGCCGCCTTCGATATCCGGCCGCGGATGAATCCCTCCTGGTTCATCATCTTCTTGCTCTGCTCCATCTCCGGCATCCTCTTGAACTGCGTCAGCACGCGATGCGCGCCGCGCGCATCCGGCCACACCTCCGGCTGCGAGTCATAGGGGCTGTAGATGATGGCGCACGCGTCGATCCCGCACAACGTGCTTAGCTCGCTCACCTTCTTGATCAAGCCCTTCTTGCGCTTCTTGTATGTCGCCTTCCGAGCCGAGTCGTTGATGATGTACGCCAGCTTTACTTTCTTTCGAGTCATTTCGTCTTTCCTATGGCAAGGAAATGTTAGAGTTGTGAATATGGCAAGGAAGGCAAAAGAGGGTTGCTATATATAAAGGGGTGGGGGTAGGGGTGGGGAAAGGGTTTTTACCTTGGGAATTAATAAGGAAGATTTGGAAATTATGAGGTTGGCAAGTTTTGGTAATAATGGTTTAATTCTTCATATCATTTCAAATATTGTGCAATTTGGTTTTATCCATGACATTTAATTTCCTATGCTCATTTGTTATAATGTGTTTGTAATTTTTGTCTACTTTCACACATCTTTTTTGTGTGCTCTTTTTTTTTTTTTTTTTTCAAATACTTTTCTTGGAAATGATAAAATTTTAATTGATATTGGCTTATAATATAAAAGTGTTGATTATATAAGTATCTCTACCTAATTTTATGGTGATTTTATGCATTAAATTTGGCGTTACTAAATAATAAATTGGTAATAATATGTCCAGATAGGACCAGGTAGGCGTCCGCGTTGGTAGGCCAGGAACGCCATCTTTATTATTATTTTTTTTCAAATTCGAAAAAAATGAATTAAAAGTTTTTATTATTAAAAAAATTGGATTTAAAGGTTGGATTATCTATTATGTTCCAATAGGATATCCAATATCAAATTGGGTACATTTTAACCGAAGGTTTATTCAGAGGGCATTCAAAAAATAGGAACTACGGATTTTTATGTCATAGAAAAAAATAGGTACCCAACCTATCTATGTACGTACCTCTCTAAAAGTTTTAAAATTTGATTTCAAGACCAAGATTGTATAAATTAAATTCTAAAACATATATGCGTTATGTGTTAATTTTATTGCTTAAGAGAGACGGGTTAAGGCAAATGTACTTTTATATGTATATATATTTGTGAAAATCATTCATTTTTTAATGTTGTTATAGTTTTAAAGATTAATCATCTATTGATGTTGAGTGTTTGTTCATAACAATATAATGAAAATAAGATAAAATAAATACAAACCACATGATATATTAGTAATCTAATTCAATCTAAATTGATTCCGTTTAAGAATTTTCATAAACAATAATAATTCACTATCAATTAAGTAATTACACACACACACACATATATATATATATATGTCCTTCAGGTGAGTGTGATTTGTTTGTGTTCCACCTGTTTCTTCTTTCTCTTTTACTATTTATTAAGTTAGTTACATTTGATCAAATTTTTTCGTAAATTTTTATGTTTTAAGATGACATATGTGAATGAAAGAAACCCTTTGTTATTTTTGACACATAGACAAAAATACTTTTCATTTTCTTGCAACAAGTTTTCATTTTCAAGTAGTCTGATGTTGCATAAAGACTATCACTGCAACTGTGCTGCAGTATGAATCTGTAAGCTTGGCATTATTGATTGTGTCAAAACATTAAATGCCTGCAAGAGTCAAACTTGGTATTTAGGGGATGGTCAGACTCGTGCATAATCATTGGAGAACACTCGAAGGGAAATTAATGTGAAGTGTGTTCTTTCCAAGAATGCACAGAACCAAAGAAGACAAATAAGTTGGTGTGTGTGAGTTGGTGTGCATATCTTAGAGAGAAGATTCTTGAGAAAAACTCTCACCACCCATCTAGTTCAACTTTCCATATTTTGAATGTGTGTTCTACACTGATATCAACTGAAGAGGTTGAAGGTGTTCGGAATTAATGGAGTTCCAACCGGAAGGAATGATCAAGCTCTGAACTTCTTTGCTGTGTGATCGTTGTTAGTACGAAGTTGTAGCAAGCGATAGAGTTAAATGAGTTGTGGTTGTTTATATCCTTAATTAGCACTGGTTAGTGGAATTCCTCTTGATTGGTATTCCCGGATGTAACCGGGTCAACATACACCTTGTCTCATTATTGTTTTATGTTCTGCATTGTTTTTCGTTGTTACAATATTATTATAACTGTGAATCGCCCACGCTTAGGGTTTGTTCGATAAATCACTTCCCCAACAACATATTAAGTCAAAAAATTCAATTGAGAAGAGAGAATAGAAGATGCAAATATATGGTTATAGATATACATATTTAATACTCTCTCAACATACAGTTATCTAAACATAATCGTAAAATAAAGTTCAAATCATTTTTATTTCAAAATAATTCAAACTCAATATATACATATTAACTTTTAGGGTTTTGGGTATCAATTCAAAATCTTTCGTATTTAATATACAATCACTTGTTTGAATTTAAGAACAATATATTGGCTATTGGGTGTGTTATTTTAAAATTTGAGTTCTTATTTGATCGAGGATCTAGGTGTGTGATATGTTTTTAAAAGAAAATAAACAATAAGTGTGTATATTTTTATACTGGGATGATTCTTATTATATAAAAGCTAAAACTAAATTTCAAAAAACAGAATAGAGTCTATCAATTTTAGAAAGCCGATTTTTCCTTTTTCTTGTTTATTTGGATTTGAAATTTTCAATTTAAATTTAAATTTAAATAATATTTTAATATAATATTTGATAGAAGAAAATAAAATATTTTAATTAAAAATCATATAAATTGAATTATATAAAAATTGATTTGAGAAACAAACCAAAAATACCCAAAGTATATATTTGGTCGGGACCACTATGGTGTTGACCGTAGCAAATGAGAGTGAAAGTAACTTCACATTCCGACTCGCAAGCCACGTAAAGCCGGACATGTTAGGATCTAGACTGGCTTCATAGGTTGACACGAGTTATTTCAACGCGTTTGGAATGATTTGAATTGACTTGTGGGGTAGTCTACAATCCCGACACGTCCGACTTTGCGTGACTTTTTAGACCCGTGTTAAATAAAATTATATACTGTATAAATATATTTATTGTGTTAAAATCAATAGTAGTATGTATTATGTGAAACTATATTATGTATTGTATTTGTCAAAACACAAGATGCCGCTAGTACTTGATGAATGCTTTGGTTAAAATGTTGATTGAGGATTTATCAACACAATACAGATTGCCTCGATCAATATATGAAAATAATATATGAAAATATAGTAGATGATATATGTGGTATAAAGTATTAATATGTGCGGTTAGTTCTATTTTATAAGTGTTGTAAATTTATATATTAACTGTGATTGCGTTATGTGATGAATTTTAAAATCAAGCACAATAAGAACCGTTGTATTTGGGTAAAAAATAGTAACATTGATTAAACTTATTAGTATTATTTGTGGATTTGTTTTTTTGGTAAAAATAATGATGAAATATCAAATCAAATATTAATTTTTTTTTTATTTTTTTATATTATACTAAAAGTTAATTTATAATTAAAATATTATATCAACGACTATTTATATCACACCGTACTATTATTAAAATTCAAAAAATTTTAGTAATCGAATCCAAAACCAAAATCTAAACCTCCAAACAAACACACTAATGTACTTCCCATTAAATGTAATCATTTAATATATAGCCACTGTTAAATGAATTTTTATACTGTCTTACATTTCTTGATTAGGATCCTTGCCGTTACATATATGTGCAATATTTTTACTTTTAATTTGTCTCCATAAAATAAAAAATTAAAATTAAATATTATAAACTATATGCTTGATTAAGGAGAAATGAGAGGAGAAATTCACTAAGTCAATAATTTAGTTCAATGGCTTAGGTTTAAGTCAATAATATATATTAATTCTATTTTAGAAATGTTTAGAAAAATAAGTCAATATATATAAAGACATTTCGTAAAAGATTCAATAATAAATATATTAATTCTATTTTATAAGTGTTTAGGGTTTTTTTTTTTTTTGTTGTGATTTGAAATGATATGTTAATTTGAGTTTTGTTTAAATAGTATTTTGATATTATATTTCATATATCAGAGAAAATAATGTATATATTTTTTTTTATTGAAAATCGTATACCATGGATAATATTGATTTCAATTTGAAATTACAAAAGTACAAACCCGTACATGTGTTAAATTTTGTTGACATTGTTTTATAACAATAATTTTATAAAAAAAAAACAAATTGTTAAATATGATAAGTTGTTTTCTCCGTCCTAATTGAAAGTATTCATTTATCATTTTGGTATGTTTCACTTCAAAATATCTCTTTCGCATTTTAATAAAAGTAATCGTACATTTATGTAACAAAAATATCTTTAATTCTTACCTAAATTAGAAACATACTATTATACATACAATTATTAAAAGACAAATATGTCAAAACTTCTTCCGCTAACTAATAAAATATTATTATTTCTTAATAAAACCTCGAATACTCCCTTTAGAGTGGGATAGAGGAGTATAATATAACTCTTGTTTCTTATGAAAAATATATAGAATTATCTTGTATTTTATTTATTGTATACAATTATACTTATATTATTATTATAAAATCTTCATAGAATACCATTTTGTCAAAAAATATTGCCAACTAAGTAATTAAATAACATGGTTATTAAAGAAATTAAACGATCCTATATCGAATAGACTAATTTTGTATGTACGAGGGTATATATATATATATATATATATATATATATGATGACTTTTTCGTAATGATTAGTATTACCAAACCATATCCAATGAGAACAAAATTCAACAATATATATATATATGAATATACAATTTTGATATATAGCAATATTTAATTAATTACATAGTCTGGAAGGTCAGTATGCCAATAAATGTAATCTGACTAACTGAAAATCCACTCATTTAAATATTATATATATATATATAAATTAGAAGTCAACTAATAATAATTAATAGATGATGAAATATTATAAGAAAAGCGAGTACGTACGTACGTAGACATTTCCATGCATGCAAGAATTCCACGCGGGGAGAGTGAGTACGTCCGTGGACATTTAAATTAAATGGATTTTTTTTTTTTTTTAATTTAAAATGTGTTATTTTGAATTTTTTTATTTTGTTATATATATGTAAATATATTTCATTCATTACCTATATAATGTATTTGTTTATTTATTTAATATATTTATATTTTTTATTTAATATTATATTATTCCGTACAAAATGATATATATTTTATATATATAGTCTGAAACTATTTAATGATTGGCAAAAAAATAAAAAATAAAAAAATGTTATGTTGAAATATTTAGGGGTTTGGTTTAGTAGTTGATGAAATATATAAAAAAATACACTACTTATTTGAATAAGGTAGATTAGCCAATTCTTTAGTTTCATTTTATATTATATCATACAGTCAGAGTTCAACAGTCAATACATGATTTAACATTTTTTCCTTTTTTATATTACTGTTTTCAACAACTTTCTTTGTTCAAAGACCAGATTAAAACTTTTTTATATTAAATATTAGTATATAAATTTGATTGATTCATATACATATATACTATAAGAATAAGTTTAATAAAAAAAAATGGACCAAAATTCCAATTTGTTTAGCATTACTAATTAATAAATCCTCGATAATTCTGTACAAATTAACTAGGGGTGTCAAAATTAAACCCGATTCAAAAAAATCGAACCCATTCGACCTAAAATTCTTCATATTCGGGTGTGGGTATTTCGGGTTTGCAAAAAATCAAACCCGAAACAATAAAATTTTGTGTCATGTTCGGGTTGTATTTAGGGTTGACCTGATACCCTGAAATATAAAAATTAGGTCAGGTTTAGGATTTCGTGTTTCGAGTTGACCTGAAATTTTATTATTATAATTTTAATTTATAATATTTATATAATTTTAAATATAAAATCATATAAAAAATTAAAACAAAAATGAACTTTTTTTAGGTTAATTTAATTATTATAAGTTTTCGGGTATATTTCGTGTCGGGTTTGTTCGGGTTTCGGGTGATCTAAAACTAATTCAGCTCAACTTGAACCTGATTTGACGTGTTGTGTTCAGATCTAGAGTTTCAGGTCAAATTTCGGGTTCGGATCGGGTTTGAGTTGACAGTCTTTTTGTTATCTCCATGAGTCAATTCGACACGAACACGACCCGAAAACACGAATTGACACCCCTAAAATTAACAATGTATTTGCAAATTACTACTACCGAAAAAACTGGTTAGAATATTAAACTAATTTCGACGTAATTTTTAATTTGTCTTGGATTTGTTTTTTATTCGACAATACGTTGAATTGATCCTAGCCACTAATGATCCTAATTAAATAAGGGTAGTTTAGTTCATTTAAATTACTAGAAGCTGTGATTAAATTTCAACAATTCTGAATTAAATATTTCAGCATATGATATATAGCTTGTCGCCATATGTTGTTTACATATCAACTGCTGACATAATGAACCCAATGTTAATGATAATTACTTAATGTTTAAATTAAATAATACTTAAATATTAATATTCCTTTAGTTCGGAATAATTATATATATATTTTATTGTTCGTTAAATTTATGCCTAATTATTTATAATAAATAATTTTATTCACTCACAATTTTATTATATTTACTTTAAAAAATAATACCGAATTTGTCATTATTTTTTGAACTTATCAAATTGCTTTATTATTAACTTTTTAATAATTTTTTTTTATATAATAAATCAATCCTTTTAACATACTCTATTTTTTACATTAAAAGTATTACTACGTACCTTGACTGCTATTACAACGCTGAATCTAAAATTTAATATTATGCTTAATATCACACAATTGGACAACATATATTATTACTGTCGGTAATACATTGTATATATTAAGATAATACAAATATAATATATCAACTAACAACATATATTATAGTATCAGACAACACATGTACATACAACAGTTGTGATATACTCTTATACAACAGATCAATAAAATGTTTGTTTGTATAGTTGAAAATTTCTGTATAGTGTATAGCTGTAGTAGACGAGTAAATAAGAAATTTATACACACAAAAGCTGGACAATAATTTGGTGACGCGACTAATTCGACACAGACAGACGCGTAGGCACATTACATTAGACTTTCTGCGAATTCCTCAATTTTAAATAACCAACCTTACCTTATAAATAAATACCCATTTCTCCATCCCCAACCAAAACAACACAACACAATACGGCGTCGTTTCAACCTTCAATGGCAATGGCAATGGCAATGGCGGCTTCCTCTCTAACAATGGCGGCTCTCGTCGTCGTCCTCCTCCTCCCGCCGTCGGCAGCGCAGCTATCCGCCACCTTTTACGACAGCTCCTGCCCTAATGCGGCGGCGACCGTCCGCGCCTCGATCCGGCAGGCAGTGTCACGTGAGCGGCGCGTGGCGGCGTCCCTTATCCGGCTCCACTTCCACGACTGCTTCGCTCAGGGCTGCGACGCCTCCATCTTGCTCGACCAGACCGATTCCATTCAGACAGAGAAGACCGTTCTCCCTAACCGCTCCCTCCGACCGCAAGCCTTCGCCGCGGTCGACGCTGCCAAGGCCGCCGTCGAGCAAGCTTGCCCCGGAGTCGTTTCCTGCGCCGACATTCTCACCCTCGCCGCCCGCGACGCCGCTGTCGCCGTAAGTTCCGATCAAATTAATTATTTCCACTTTTATAATTAATTAATTAATTCGATTATGATTATATATATATATATATATAGGTCGGCGCGCCCACGTGGAACGTGAGGCTGGGGAGAAGGGACTCGACGGGAACTAATCCTACCGAAGCAAATGCAGATATTCCATTAGGGAATTCAAATCTCGATCGACTCATTTCCTCCTTTGCCCGAAAGCAGCTCAGCGTTAGGGATATGGTTGCCTTATCAGGTACAATTAAAATTAAAATTAAAATATAAATAAAAATATAATTAATTAATTTTGTGTATATTGTTGGAGCTTATAACCAATTTAACCCTAAGCCCAATCTGTTAGTATTGAAATAATTGAGATAAGAAATAAAACAATTAAACCTGACCAGGTTCCATTAGTGTTGTCGGATTCGGATCTACAAACAATTAAAGTTTTTTGTGTTCTTCAAGTCTATAGCGCAACTTCATGAGAAAACCGCAACCCTAATTTATATCACTTATTATTAATTGACTTCATCGTCCAATTAATAAGTTACCGAATTTTTGCACCTACATTTAATATACATTTAAACCCAATAAATTAATAGACACTTAATATAAATATATATATATATATATGCAGGTGCTCATACGCTGGGACAAGCACAATGCTTTACATTTCGCAACAGGATCTACAGCAACAGGACAGACATCGATGCAGGCTTCGCCGCCACGCGCCGCCGGCAATGCCCTCAAAGCGGCGGCGATTCGAACTTGGCGCCGCTCGACCTGGTTACTCCCAATTCGTTCGACAACAACTATTACAGGAACTTGGTGCAGAGGAGGGGGCTTCTCAATTCGGACCAGGCCCTCTTCAATGGATCCTCCACGGACGCCATTGTTACAGAGTACAGCAGAAACCCTCAAGCTTTTGCATCGGACTTTGGCAACGCTATGATCAGAATGAGTGAGATTTCTCCTCTCGTTGGAAACGGGAATGGGATCATAAGACGAGTTTGCACTGCCATCAACTAGTTGATGATAATTAATAATTACACTCAAGATTTCTTTGATTTGATTAATTTTCCACTGAATATGATCATCAAAATGTGATAATATTTAGGTTTTTAGTCCAAAGTGTGCTTATATTACATCCTTTGATATTCATTTTTATCTTTTTCTTTTTATATGATTTTTTATGTACTACAAGATTGTTGTAAGTGATTTGATAATTCTCTTGTAGCAATTTTTGTTCTTGTCTCTTTCATTTTTTTTTTTCAAAAAATTATTTATAAAAATATTATATATATTATTTAAATAAAAAATATAAATATTCAAACTCAATTCAAATATATTTCTTCTAAAATTCTTATATATATATATATATGTATAAACCTCTCAATATAATAATTCTTTTATTAAAAATCACACAAATACAATGTAAGAAAACCTTAATAATTGTGGGTATACTTGAGTTCGTGCATTTTGTATTTTTGAATGAGATTATTGTCTATAAATATTGTATAAAAATATATATATATATATATACATATTAACACAATGTACATATATATTTGATCCATTTACCAAAAATCAACAATTTAATACAATATATTATTTTTATATTACCGATATAATTTCATATACGTATCGTAAGAAAATATATCAACTTATTTGTCTTTTTATTTACTTAATCAATTTTTCTATTGAAAATAAAATATAAAATTAAGTATTTATTTCTTCTTTTAAAATATTACATTAAATCTGAATACTAAATTTTTAATATTTTCAAATTCTTTGAAACTAATCTCTTATATAAATAAAGCCTTAGATTTGTATCAAACAAGTTACAAATAAATAAATAATAAAGGCACAACAACTATTTTATTTATTTAAATAGTTATTTATAAATATAATATACTTTTAAAATTATGCTGTATTATATATTATATAGTTAATTAAGATGATTTATACTATATTTGTTAAATATATTTTTATATAATAAATTTTACTCAAAATAAAAAAATTATTATGAGACTGACAATAATAAAAAAAAATATATCAATTTAAATGAGACGAGAAGTATTATAATTTACTATTTTTTTCAATTAATATTGAAAAAAAAAGACATGTCCCCGAACGTACTCACTCTCCCGCGTGGAATTATTGCATTGCATGCATGGAAATGTCTACGTGCGTACTCGCGCTTTTCTTACTATTCATCCTCTACCATTTATTGTTAGTTGACTTCTATTTTTTATTTTATTATTATTATAATATTTACATAAATTGATTTTTAGTCATGTTACATTTGCAAATTCATACTATATATATATATATATTTTGTTGAATTTTGTTCTCTTATTGAATGGGTTATACCCTCTCCGTCTCATAATAAAGTATTCATTTTTCCATTTTAGTCCGTCCCATAATAAAGTATTTATTTTCTTTTCTTAGTAACTGTACTATCTACCTAACATTACAAATACCCTTACAACTTACAATATATTACACAAATGTCATTACCTTTATATAACACATACTAATAAGGTTATTTTAGTTATTTTTATTTTATTTATACTATATTTTAATATAATTCTAACATTTCTAAAATTACGTGTAAAAAACAAATTGATGTTTAGTATATTGGGAGGGACGGAGTATATGATTTGGTAAAGCCAATGATAATGAAAAAGTCATCGCATATACTTATTCTCGTATGCACAGTATCATATCAGTTAATAAAAATATTGCGTGTGTAAGTGGTCAAATTAAACAAGTCATTCTTTATATATATTAATTTCCAGACGAAAATAAATATATATTTATTAATAAATGATAATCCCTCAGTCCCTTATACGATGACCATTTAATTAGAAATACAATTATTTAAATAGAATAGATTAATAATTTTATTAATAATTATTTTATCAATTATATTATATTTTTATATGAATAGTATGGTTGATATTTTAAATATTCTTAACATTATATCTCAATAAAATATATACAATATAAGTATTATTTTTGTAGAGAATAAATTTTTTTATAATACAAGTAAATAGAAAAATATATTTATTTATTTATAATTAACATAAACTAATTTAATAAAAAAATTAAATTTTAAATATAAACAGAAATATTTATTTATTGAGAAAAAGTAAAAATTAAAGGATTTTGAGTGGTCTACTCACAAGAGGTTAAAAATTTAATTATATTAATTTATATTTATTAAATATATTTAAAATATATTTATTAAAAATAAATGGGGATCATTTTTATAAGGCATGCAAAAAGGTAAATGGGTCATTGGTGGGTTGGAGGGAGTATTTCATTTTTTCTTCATTTTAGTCGAATCCATCATAAATGATATATATTTTTTTTTTATTATTTAGTAAAATTTATTAATTTAAAATATATTCAATTAGTATAAATATATATATATATTTTTAATGACGTTATCCGCAGCCGCTGTCCGAAAGGATTGGTAAATTCCGACCAAACCTAGTATCCTGCAAACTAGGTCCGATAAAGCAAAAGACAATATAAATACATAATATTTTTTTATCTACATTTACACGTTATAATCTTTTATAAAATTAGTTATGTTAATTATAATTAAATAAATATATATTTTAATTTATTTGTATGTATATAATTTTATATTCTATAAAATGATATCTTATAAATTTTATTGAGATACATTTTAAAAATATTTAAATATATATTCTATTTTTTAAAATTATATATATTAATTCTTATTTTAAAACGATCAATAATACTATTCACATAGATCAGTTTGAAATGCATATATATAGTTCATGGACTTGTACATTTGAAATGCATATATATAGTTCATGGACTTGTACATCTCCACATCATCGTACAAGTTCGATTTTGTTTTGTATTTTATGTTTAAATAGTAATTGAATAATAATAATAATAATAATAATAATAATAATAATAATAATAATAAAACTAATGAAAAATGATATATGAATTTTTATTTGGGATTATCCATCACTTTTAACATTGCATAATAATTTGACATGACACATTTAATCTGAATTATAATATAATTAGAAATTGTTGAATTCCGATTGATGAGGTTAAGTCAAGCTACTAGTGCATTGACATATTGAACATGATCAAAATAATCAATAAACATTATTAATTACCAAAAAAGTATATATATATATATATATATATCCATTGATCAAAATTTTCATTTGGAATTGAATTAATTAATTCCTAGCTAGGCAATATTATATCTCTAATCGGAAAGATTATTAGAAACTTAAAATAATCATCACATTTATCAAAATAATAGCAGAATCGCCAAATAAAATTGTAAATATTTCATTAGGAATTCATTTCCAAAATTGTGCATAAAATATACCTTATAATTCATTAACTATATATTAGATTTACCTTCTATCGATTTTTTAAAATTTCATTAATATTTGGAGTTTGTCAATATCGTTGTGTGTTCTTGTGTAGAGGCTATCTCAACTCCAGCGCGACCAAGAATAGCCACGAACGGCCCCAATTAAGACTCACCAAAACTGACAAACCCTAGCCTAATCGAGCGAACCTCATTATTCAATCAAAATACACCGTAGAACCCATCGAATCTCTCACCTAATACACTAGGGTGTGTTTGTTTGAGGGTTTGAATTTTGAATTGGGATTTGAATAGTAAAAATTTTGAATTTGAATAGTTGTAAAATTGATTTTTAATATAATATAAAAAATAAAAAATAGATGTTTGATTTGATGTTTTTGAAAAAAAAAAAAAAAAAAAAGAAGGATGAATAGTATATTTGGGAGGAATCCCCCAAACAAACACACCAGCTACACAAAAGTCAGAAAGAAGACAAGAAAAGGGGGAGGACATATACACAATCGCGATGTAATATTTTGGATAAAATTATGAAGAGCTACGGCCCATTAAAAAAAAATAAAAATACATATACATATAACCTGTCGGGCCTAATTTGTATGATATTAGGTTCCATTGGGAATTTACATAGTGTATACTTTTGGGTAGCGACTAGAGGTTCTCACGTCAATTAAAAAAAAAAACATTTACATATAACCCTAATTAAGATGAGACGCCTAGGATATCATCATTGGAATGGACGGATGAGATTTTACGATAGCTTGCCGGGTTGGGCCGCAAATTCGGACCAAAGGTAACAGATTGGGTTGAAATACAAAAGGCTATACATAAAAAATCATGGGCCAATAATAATTCTGTTTATTTAATTTAAAATGTAGTAATAATAATATATTTCTCAAATAAAATTATAATAATTTAAGTTACATATTACTAAATCTTCATTAAACTATGGTACAAAGAGTCTCGGATTTTGATTGATTTTTGCCAAATTGTTGTATTTGTATACTCAATATGCTGATTTGAGTTGATTCTAAATTCAACAAAGTTAATACACAAATATTTACCCAAATTTATGATTAAGCTAGACAATTAATTAATATGAACATTAGATATCAGTTTTATATTATTACCGTATATTACGAATATAACACAATTCTTATAAATCTAATAATATTAAAAAGAAAACATTTCACTTATATATTACATATAAATAAACAAATTTTGAAGGTATATGTGTATTCAACTGTTTCTTATACTTTTGAAGTTGAACCTTAAATTTAAAATTAGCATCTCCTTCCTCCCTTCATACAATTTTTTTTTTCTTTTTTTTGTTTTTCTATTTTTAGTAAATTTATTCATCTCAAACGTATCTAACAAATATAAATTAATTTAATTAAATTTTTAAAATATATTTTCACTCAAAATCCATTTATTTCTATCTCTCTTAAATTAACAAATTCTTTTATCTATATTTAAATTTTTTTATTTTTTTATAAAATTAGTTTTAAGTTAATTATAACTAAGTAGTAATATATTTTTTTTATTGTATTATATAAAATTTTATTATCGATTTCGATATTGGGATATAATCCTAAAAATATTTAAAATACCAATAATATAATTTATATAAAAAATAATAAAATAATATCATAACTTATTATTAATAACTTAGTAATCTACACTAATTAAAATACTTTGTCCACAACCAAATGAATCATTCTTGCCAAGACGGATGGATGGAGCATATCGCAATGTATGTATTTCATAATTTGGGTCGGATAATCTTGGTCTTGAAATCAAATTTTTAGAATTTAAAAAGTGGATAGGTCTGATATTCTATTAATATCAAATATTCGATCCGAACATAATTGGATAATCCGAACCAAACCACTTTTTTAATAGTAAAAAACCTTTTAATTCGACTTTCTCAAGTCTTTTTTTTTTTTAAAAAAAATAAATAAATTACATATCCGACGTACCAAACCCGAACACCGACCCAATCCTACCTGAAAATATTATTACCAATATATTAATATAATATCACTAAATTTAATGCCTAAAATCACCATAAAATTATGTAGAGATACTCACATAATCCTCACATTTACATTATAAGCTAATATCAATTAATTTTATTTTTTATTTTTTTTATTTTTTTATCATTTCCAAGGAATAAAATAAAACACACACATACATGACACGAGAGAGATATATGTGTGAAAGTAGATCAAATTAAATTACAAACACAATATAACAAATAAGCATAGGAAATTAAATGACCAAAATTGTACACTATTAGAAATGATACGATGAATTAAACCATTTTAACCAAAAACGACAATCTCATAATTTCCGAATCTTCCTTATTATTTCCTAAGGCAAAACCCTAATTCTCCACACCCCACCCCACCCCACCCCACCCCTTTATATATAGCAACCCTCCTTTCCCTTTCTTGCCATATTCACAACTCTAACATTACTTTCCTTTCCGACGACATGACTCGGAAGAAGGTGAAGTTGGCGTACATCGCCAACGACTCGGCTAGAAAGGCGACGTACAAGAAGCGCAAGAAGGGCTTGATCAAGAAGGTGAGCGAGCTAAGCACGCTATGCGGGATCGAAGCGTGCGCCATCATCTACAGCCCCTACGACGCGCAGCCGGAGGTGTGGCCGGATGCGCGGGGCGCGCATCACGTGCTGGCGCAATTCAAGAGGATGCCGGAAATGGAACAGTGTAAGAAGATGATGAACCAGGAGGGATTCATCCGCGGCCGGATATCGAAGGCGGCGGATCAGCTGAAGAAGGTGCAAAAGGAAAATCGGGAGAAGGAGATCACGCACCTCATGTTCCAGTGCCTCACCGGGAAGGCCCTCCAGGGGCTGCCATTGCCGGACCTCAATGATCTCGGTTGGCTCATTGATCAGAACTTGAAGGAGATTTGTAAGAGGATTGACGGGCTGAAGAAGACGGCGGCTGATGCGGCCGTGGTGGAGGCTGCGGTGGGGAATGTGGCGGCGGCTCAGAGGCGGGAGAATTGGTTTGGGGATTGGATTGCGAATCCGGTGGGGGATACTGATCGACAGCAGATTGGAAATTGTTCTTTTGGTGCTGCGGCTGGCGGCGGAAGCGGAAGTAGTGGCGGCGGTGGCGGTGCGGATGAGATGTTGATGGCGGGGTTTAATGATGGGAATGGTCATGGATCGATGTGGTCGAGTGTGTTCTTCCCTTGAAGGGTTTATTTATACATTTGCAAACTTTTAACTATATATTGGGATTTTAATTTTGATTTTGATTTTTTTTTTTTTGTCATTGATCAAGTGGAAGTGAATGTTTTGATTTTGGTGCGTGGCTTGTGTCTTTCTGTTTTAGTTAATTTTTATGAATGAGATGTGTGGAATTGCTCTTGATGATCCAAAGTTGTATGGCTCTTTGCTGCAAAATGTTCTCATATCAATATTGCATAAGTTATTTTTTCTTTTTATTAAAAAAAAATAAATTAAACACGAGGTAAAAATACTTGTGTGAAGATTATATAGATCATGCCAGATTCGGCCAATATAAAAAGATCTATATGTGTAAGAACAATAGCACGGTTAGACTTTGCGTTAGGAGTTTGAACCCATGACCTAACGGTGATAAGTCACTTCAGTTCCGAAGCCACCAGGTTTTACTCTATAAAGAACCGGTTTTGGGTTTTGTTTGGTGGGCCGGTTCGAAACAGAATGGGCAGAGGTCTAGAAGATGGCTTTGTTTGAACGGGTGGGTCATCTAGACCCGACCCAATTGCAAACATGGGAGTTGCCTTCGTCTCTTCTTTACATACTCTGAAATTTCCCTCCAATCTCTACACCGTTAACCTAATCGGGTTTACAGCCATTGATTCCGCTGCAAAACATAGTAGAATTTTTGTTAATTTCTTTATGAAAACTCCATTTCTGTTCAAACCTGTCGTTTCAAAAACATCGCCATTTATTTCTCCCGCTCAGATCAGTGAGCTCCTGAAATGCGCCAAAAATGTGAATCATGCCGCTCAAATCCATGCTCAGCTCATCACACAAGAATATATTCGTTTGCCTTTGTTGTTCAACAGCCTTCTCAACATTTATTCCAAATGCGGTCACGTTTTGCAATCACTCTCGCTGTTTACAGCTTCGAATTCGAGGGAAGGGTTTGATGGCGCCAAGAATGTCTTTATTTATACTTCTCTAATTACTCAGCTTTCTCACTGGAATTTACACTTAAAAGCTATTTCCTTTTTCAATGAGATGAGGGAGAGAGGTATCTTCCCCAACCATTTCACTTTTTCTGCTGTTCTGCCGGCGTGCGGCGATTTGGCGTTGGGAAAACAGATGCATTCGTTGATATTTAAACATGGAATTGAAACTGATGTGTTTGTTAGTAGTGCATTGGCAGATATGTATGCGAAGTCTGGGGAAATGATTGGTGCAAGGAAAGTGTTCGATGAAATGCCGCACCGGAACCTTGTTTCTTGGAATTCGATGATTGTTGGGTCGCTGCGGAACGGCATTTTTAACGAAGCCATTGAATTTTTCACAAGGATGATTAATGAGGACGCCGTTGTGCCCGATCAAGTGAGTTTTTCTAGTGTTTTGAGTGCTTGTGCTAATGTCTGCGGGCTGGCATTTGGGAGACAAGTTCATGGAAGAATTTTCAAGCATGGTTTGGATAAGTTGTTGTATGTGAAGAATTCGTTAATGGATATGTATTGCAAGTGCGGTTCTTTTGATGATGCTGAAAAATTGTTTGTGATAACTGAAGAGAGAGATGTGGTTACATGGAATATTATGATGACGGAATTTGTTCAAAATGGAAATCTAGAGGATGCTTGTAATTGTTTTTGGGCTATGAGACGCGAAAGCGTAGTTCCGGATGCACAGTCATATTCAACTGTGCTTCACGCTGCTGCAGGTATTGGGATGCTAGATCAGGGTACTTTGATCCACAATCAAATAATAAAGTCTGGGCTTGGAGGAAACTTATACGTATCTAGCTCATTGATTACGATGTATGGAAAATGTGGAAGTTTGGTCGATGCTAGACGGGCCTTTTCCGAGAATCACGAACATAATGTGATATCATGGACATCGATGATATCTGCTTGCCAACAACATGGCTGTGCAAATGAGGTTATAGAATTATTTGAGGATATGCTGAGGGCAAGTGTTGAACCTGATTATATAACATTTGTTTCTGTTTTATCGGCTTGTGGACATACAGGGCGAGTGAATGATGGATTTTCTTACTTCAATTTAATGAGTCAGAGGTTTAAAATTGATCCGGGGCTCGAACACTATGCTTGTATGGTTGACATGCTTGGCCGTGCTGATTGCTTGCACGATGCGAAGAGATTTGTCGAAACAATGCCCATTGAACCTGATATATCTGTTTGGGGAGCATTGCTTGGAGCTTGCAGAAAATATGGCAATCTTGAATTGGGTAGAAAAGTTGCAGAGCGACTTTTTCAGATGGAACCGGACAATCCAGGCAACTATGTGCTGCTTTACAACATGTATGTGCGCGGAGGAAAGCTAGAAGAAGCAAATGAGGTCAGGAGATTGATGGGGTTTCGTAGGGTCAGAAAAGAACCCGGGTGCAGCTGGATTGATGTGAAAAATACAACCCATGTTTTTAAAGCCCGGGACAGATCCCATTCGATGACAAATGAAATATATAAGATGCTGGAAAAATTGGAGGAACTCGTGAAGCAGAAGGGATACGTTCCCAAACTTCAGCGTTCAAGCAATGATCTAGATGAGGATGAAGAGAAGAACCTGTGGTACCATAGTGAGAGGTTAGCTCTTGCTTTTGGACTGCTGATCGTTCCAGTCGGTGCACCAATTCGAATAAAGAAGAACCTTAGAACTTGTGATGACTGTCACGTTGTAATGAAGTATGCATCGGCAATTTATAAGAGAGATATTATTATCAGAGATATTAATCGCTTCCACCATTTTGCTGATGGATCGTGTTCATGTGGCGAATACTGGTGAAAGACACGATCCACATTTACCTTTCTTCAAATTGAGCTCCAACACTACGGCTTCTAGGTAATCATAGTTCCATTACAATTTACAAATCCAGCTGTTATCGATAATCTTGTTGAGTGATAGATTATGCTCAAATCCCTCTTATCTGTATTTCCAGTTGTTTAGTCAAATAAAATTTCAGATAAACACAACACTTTTTGGCAGGAAGAATTTACAGCTGCAGATTGTAGCATTGTAATTGGGTACCGGTAGAACTTAGAATACATAGTGTCGGGCCAATAATCTGATGTTGTTAATGTCTGTTCGATTTAGGTATTCTGAACTATGTGCTGGATTTATATAACCCGGAATTGAAGGGGTTGCAGTATGAAATACTTGAGCCAGAATGGAGCTTTACAAGTCGAAGCAGATAGGTGCAGCCACATGATCGCAAATTTCATTAGGTACATTTTGTTTTTTTCATTCATACTCTTGCCATTCTCAGTCTGTTGACACCAGATCGATCATTAGCAATGGATAGGAAATATGGCTGCCAAAATAACCAGTTTTATGTTGGAACAAATATCTTTTACCGAAGAATGTATAGGGTCACAAATAGGATAAAGTTTCTATGCTGATCGATATAGCAGTAGTTTAACTAACAATTGATGAAATTGGAGATGGATTTGATACCAAATTCTACCATTAAACTTGATATTTATAATGACAAGGTAACAACATATGATCGATTACATCCCTTGTAGTTGTGGATGATGACTGCTGCAGTCATCTTTAGATAAATGGACAAAGAATTCTTTACACAATTCATGGTCTCAATAATTTAAATTCAAATCAATTAGTGAAAACGGCTACACATGAGCACGTTCATTGATTCATCTCCATATCTCCGCAACTTTTTTTTTTTGGAATCCTAACTAAACCAATCCTCTGCATTTATGAAACGAATGAATGCAGATGGAGTCAGGTGGGGAGGGCGGCCAGGATGGTGACCATAACCATGAATCTATCTAACCTAATCTTCTTGATGTAAATGTCTTTTATTGCAGCCAAAGAGGTGAGAGAAAGAGTAGTCCAGTCCACCATGTTTGCCTTGCTTCCATTCCATTCCATGGCAAGTGGGGATGAACAAACGAATGAATGAATCAATATAAATTGTCCCTCTGTCAATCTGTCAGGTCAGATCAGATCAGGTCAGGTTTCATATTTTCTAGGGATCGAACATATTAATGTCCAATCTGCAGTGCAGAAGGCATCAAAGAAAGCACTACTTATTATTATTATTATTATTCATCATCCTTAATTCCTTCCACAGGACAGAGAAACAGACAGACAGAGGCTCCACAATCAATACCAAGAAAAATGGAGAAATTTCTTTTATTTATTATTTATTACTCCTTCCGTCCCACATAATTTGTCCATATTTTTTATTTTCGTCCGTCACATATAATTTGTCCATTTTTTTTTGAAATATAATTATAAACTTTAATCTCATTTTAAATTATTTTTACTAATACACTTCTTAATTACTTACTAATCACACTTTACCTAAATTCCCGTATTTACAGTAATAGGCCCATAATACATGGGACGGAAGGAGTATTAAATATTTATGCAAGAAAAAAGGCAGCCCCCACTGGGAATAATCTACATTATCCCTCTGAGCAGCCCCATGCCTCCTCTCATCTGCATTGATATCCCTGGAAATATGGTTGGGTTTTTTTCTTTTTTTTAATTTATTTATTTTTTTCTCTAAATAAAATTCTGTCTCTCACAGACAACCATGGTTTTTTGGTGAGTGGTTTCGGCGGTTTAGTTAATAAGATATATAATAATGATTTGTTGTTTTGTTGGCATTTATTCATAAATAGGCAGGTCTCATGTTCTCATGGTGTTATATTTCTCAATGATTATTTAGGCTCCTGCCATTCTTGGTTAGATTTGATAGATAGATAAGATAAGCTGTCCAGCATTTGTTTGTGCTGTTACTTGATGGACACAACTCAATTTGGAAATGGAAATGGAGAGTTTGTCTATTTGAGATCTGATTTTATAAATTAATTGGCGATAGTTTTGTATATAAACATTATTTTATTTTTGTGATGTTTAAAATTATTGTAAAAATATTAATATAAATAGGAAAATATTTACAATATGCAGTAAAATTCATATTTACTTCAAGAAAAAAAAAAAAAAAAAAAAAAAAGAAGAGAGTGAAATACTATATTTTGAAGGTAATATCTGACAACTAACATGTTTGGAAGGCAAGAAAAAAACGAAAGGGAGTCACGTGAAGTGCACGCCACTTATATGTACAACGTTTGGTGTGTACTGTTTAAGTGTAATCAATCAATTTGTCTGTCTGTACACCTCTTCTATGTATCATCATTATCGTTATCATTATCATTATCCGGGCGCACTGCACCGGATCATAAATTACAATGCAACCCATCGCATTTTATTCCACTCCCTCCCTCCCTTCCTACCTAGAGCTAGAGGGACTTTTGAGATTTTACAATAAATTTAAAATAAAAACTATTATCATTCTTCTTTAATGCTCATATTTAGTTTTTCATATTATTTATCTTTTTATGCCTTAATTTTTTAATATTAGTTATTTATTTTGCACCTTTTTTATTTTCCATTTTCTATTTATCTTTTTTTTTTTTAATCTTTTTCTTCGTATTCTTTTTATTTTTGATATGTCTTTCTTTATCTTCCTCTTCGATTTGCATACTTCTTAATTTTCTATGTTTCTTTTTTTTTTTTCTTTCTACTTGCTTTTTCAATTTACACTCTTTCCTTCATTATTGTTAATTCTTCATTCTTCTTCTTCTTTTTTCTTTTTTTTTGGTTTTTGTTTCCTTCATAGTTTTTTATTTTTCTTTGACCCGTTGTCTTCTTCATCGAAGTAGCCTGAGACTACTTTCATAGGAGGGCTTGAGACTACATTCATAGATCCTAGGGAAAGAATAAAATCGATGGATGACCCACAGACTTTGAGGATGACTGGACAGTGGACACATATACAAATACAATGAAACTAGTGGGGAAGAAATAGAATCAATTTGGTTTCAGGATAACATATTATACTTGTGATCATTTCTGAAGGAGGATATATATCAATAATCTATATATATAGCATTGAATGATTTGCATCAATGCCAAATAATTATATAGAATATAAACAATTTTTGTTCAAAATCCTGACGCCACAGAGATAGGCAAAATACACTGCACCTTATCCACCAAACCCTACATCGGAAAGACAGCCGAACCACCACCACCACCGCGGCGGCGGCGCGTAATCAACAATCGCCGCCGCGGTGCAGGTGAATACCGATTACTATTATAAACATGAAGGTTAAAGAAAGCCCAAATAGAATAAAAAGGTTCTGCTGACTGCTGACAAGTGAAATGATGGGAGAAACCATTTTTTCATTCATTGGAATCTCGGAAGCCAATTCGTTTCTTACTCCTGCTGGACCCACACACTGTTAGTGTGAGAAACGGTGAATATACATACACACATATATATATATATGATTAGTGTTTGAGAAAGAAATAAAGTTTTGAGCTGTACTCTTGTCGTCCACAAAGCGCAGAGATGAACAGGTGATGATGGGGGCTCCACCATGGAAAAAGGGGTGAAGAAAAATAGTTAAAATTGAAGCCCACAAAAGTCTTTTTGCAGTTTCAGTTTCGGTCATTTCTGAATCGAAAGAGACGAAAAATCCCGTTTTGAGGTTTTCGATTTATTTCAAAATCTTGGTCCAAAGGGAAAAACGCTCGCATCGAAATTGGCTGCCCTAATTCTTCTCCCTTTCTCTGAATGCATTTTGATTCTTAGCAGTCTTTTATTTTATTTGATTTTCTGTAGTTTGGGAGAATAATTTGTAGGTCTTATGAAAAGTTTGTGGCTTTCTTGGAGTATGAGGTGAGTTTTGTTTGCTGAGAAAGATTTGTGTTTTTATCATGAAGATTAGGTTAGGAAAGATTTGTGAGTTGTTGAATAAGTTAACAAATCTCCTGCGGGTTTCCTCATCTCATGATTGGTTTTAGATTATTAAAAAAAAAAAAAAGGGGGGGGGGGGGGGGGGGGGGTTCAAATTAAGCATTAAACAAATGAGTTTTGACCTGAAAGTTTATGGTTAATGCTCATGCTTCTGGATACCTTTATATATATATATATATATATATATATATTTTTTTTTTTTTAAAATTTACTGATGAAAGCCATAACTAGCTAGCTGTAGATACTTTGCAAATTGCACATATACATATAATTTATCTCTACTTTATTGGTGTGCATTTTAATTTACAATTCAGATATCTTCCTGAAAGCAAGAATGTTATCTACTCTCTGGATTGTGTCTTGTCTGTGCCTTAAAAGTTGCCATGAAATTTTGTAGGTGTTCTTTAATTTGAGTTTTAGGGTTGAAAGAATTGCACTCCCAATTGGATCTTGAGAAAGAGCAAATTAAGCAGTGTTGAGTTGCAGTTGTGGATTTTCCGATCATGCCGCTGTCGGAATTGTGGAATTTGGGCGGAGGAAAGCTTGAATCCGGCCAACAGAGATCTTGTCCGAACGATGATATCTCTTCTCCGTAGGCTTGTTTATGCTATAATTTGATTTAACGATTCGATAGAGTCTATGATGTTTCGATTCGATTATCGTAAGGTGTGTTCTTGTGCAGGGCTGAGAATGATTTGGTGGAGTTAGTTTGGCAGAATGGACAGATCACGATGCAGAGTCAATCCGGCAGGGTCGCCGGAAATCCCAACGCCGGGAGAGGCCGCGACGCCATTCCGGGGCGTTCGCCGCCGCCGCCGCCGAGGATCGGGAAGTTCGGCGGAGGAGCTGACTGTATTTTAGACGATATGCCGTCGGTAGTACCTTCTGAGGAATTGGATTTAGGACAAGACGATGAAATGGTTCCATGGCTAAGTTATCCGATTTCCGGCGACGTGTTGCCACAGGATTTAGTGTCGGATCTTCTGCCGGAGATCTCCGGCATCACGGCCGCCGGAATGCCTGCTCAAAATAGCTTTCGAAGTGTCGAAAATTTGCATAGCATTGAGAGTGCATCGAAATCTTGTCCGAAAACTCGTCCCCTCAGCTCGTGGCCCGTTCAGACAATGGATGCAGTCGGGCCGGGAAAGGGGTCGAGGGTATCGAACATTTGTAGCATTAGTAATGTGGATAGCCATTCGAGTGCTACGGTCGGGAATGCGAGTCGAGGAAAAGATACGGTGAACATTTCGAACTTCGCGTATTTTTCGCGACCGGCTACCCTTGTCAAAGCAAGCATTCCGAAATCCGAAGGTGTTGGAAGAATGGGAGCCGCGGATCATCGATCTTATAGCGTTACCCGAAAGGAAGTAGGCTTCCATGGATCGTCGTCTACTTCGAAGATTGCTATGGTTGATTGTGGACAACCGTCGTTTGCCCCCGACGGCACCGAGAGCCTAAGCAGAGACAATCCCGTAATCCCGAGCAATATTGTCGAGCCTATGGTTGTTTCGTCTTCGGTTGGGTCGGGTAACAGCGCTGATAGAGTTTCGTGTGAACAGACGCATAATTCGAAGAGAAAGTTCGGCGATAATGAGGATTCGGAATGTCGGAGTGATGTAAGTCGTCTTGATTAAAGCAAGAATTCGAATCCCTTAACTTTTCGTGATCTTGATTCGTCTTTACCGGCACAGGATATTGAGATGCCGTCGATTGGTGTTAAAAAATTGAGTCTTGCTCGAGGTGGGAACGGGTCGAAGAGAAGTCGAGCGGCAGAAGTACATAATCTATCGGAACGGGTGAGCATGAGTAAACCGTGACTTGCAATTTGTGTTGCTTACATTCATGTATAAGCGTTGATTTTCTTCGTAATATGTTGTAACAGCGGCGAAGAGATAGGATCAACGAGAAAATGCGCGCATTGCAAGAACTTATTCCGAATTGCAATAAGGTGAGGATAATCTTTATATTCTATTTTCGTTTGCGAATGTTGATTACTTTTGCTCGGTTCATTATCATCGGCAGGTGGATAAAGCTTCGATGCTCGACGAAGCCATCGAGTATTTGAAAACTCTTCAACTTCAAGTACAGGTGAGGCGAAAAACAATAGGCACGTTCGACTAGATCATAGATGATGATGCAAAACAATAATCATTTATGGTGCAGATCGTGTGCTGATCCGGCCAAATTAATATGATGCTGATTTGACAGATCAACATATGCTATAGGGGTGACCAGCCTATGTTTATACATATCTTGGCATATATGGTGTTATAAGATAGCTAGTATAAGCTGAATTATAATATAATATATGCTGTATTATAAATGTGCTGAAATATGTATAAATATTATTGATCACCTTATAGCATATGTTGACCCGATCAAATCAATATAGAACGATTGTTTGATGTCATTTCCTTTATTACATTCCACAGATAATGTCCATGGGAGCTGGATTATGCATGCCGCCGCCGATGATGTTTCCTCCCGGAATGCAGCACATGCATCCACAATTTTCGGCGATGGGGATGGGTTTGGGGTTCGGGATGGGTATGGCGGATGCGAACGGAGGACCGCCGAGTTGTCCTATTTTCCCGGTACCTCCGATGCACTTCCCATCGCCAATGTCTGCTCCCGTTAATTTCCAGAGACTTCCGACGCCCAACATGGCTGTTTACGGGCATCCTAGTCAAGGAAGGATGCGTTCGGCACCGATGACCGGAGCTCCCAAAGAAGCGCCGAGCTCATGCTGGACTTCTAGCTCGGCAGATCCGACAGACAAGAATTCGCAATCGATTCTCGATGCAGAAGCGAGAAGCTTGGAAAATCATAAATCGAGCGAGGTACATATTTAGGCTGCGTTGAATTTCAGCACATGAAATATATTCATATAACGAATCCTATATATAGGACTCATTAGTTAAAATTATGTGCTCTCGGCCTATTTATGATGCAATTGACTGTCGTTCCAATCAACACAATAATCTCTTTCATATATTTATTTATTGGTTGTGGATCCTGTGTTGGTCCGGCAAAGTCAGCATAGTGTTGATTTGACCGGATTAGCATATGTCATGCATATAACCAGTATATATTTATACATAATACAACATATATCGAATTATAATATAACATGTGTTGATTACATGTGCATATGCTGATCTAGTGATCAACCGTTGATCCATGTCCTTATTTATTTATTGTTTTTTTGCGGAATTGTGAGATAATCTCTTGATGTTGTAGCAGCGGGTATCTACGAATGAAGTCCTCGACCACGACCTTGGCGGGTCGGGTACAGAAGCAAAGGAGAAGCAGGCAGCTGAGGCTACCGCCCCTCCTTCATCCTGATGAAACAGCTTGAATGAGGTGAAAGTCTAGATGTGATGAATTGATGATAACTATGATATGATGTTTTTCCTGTTCGATATTCTTAGGACAGCTGCTACAGATTTCACATTTTATTCCATTTTTATTACGAGAATCATAATGAATGAATTTGTTTGTTTGTATATTCAGACATGAACACACTTTTGGAATCTAATTAGGGTCTGGGGCTTACTAATATATATATATATATATATATATTCCGGGAAGGGTTACGGTCAGAACCGTGCTTATTTTTTAAAACAGTACGCTTAAAATATAAAATCAACACATGTTTTTAATACACATTATGTACTGTTTGTAATAAAAGCATATAATGTTTGTTCATAATTATAACGTGTATTATAGAAAAATATGTCATAGATTAAAATCAATTGTTGCATATACTGTCTGAGTCTATACTGTGGTATTATTTGATATTTGTATTATATTAATATTAATAATGTTATGTTGTGTTGTGGGCATTTTGTAAATTTAAAATTCAACATTGCAATCGTTACGATGTATTCATATCTCCAATCCCGCCATAGAGACAGACTAGTTGCCAATTTGCCATCCTTAATCAGATCTAAACAAACATTTGAAAATATCAAGAAAATCACCATACTTTAGAGATCCATAAAAATATATAGTCTATCTTCTTCTTCCATAAAAATACACCACACCAAATGAATGACAGCTAGTAATAATAATACATCACCAATGAAATCATCAATCCAAAAGACACTAACAAACCAAAACCAAAACCAAAACCAAAATCAATCACAACACAACAAATCGAAGTATATAACAATTTAACTTACGATTCTCAAACTTGAAGAAGCTTTTCCTTTTCTCTTGCTATAACCTCTTAAACCTGCCTGTCATCATCCTGCTTTCGAGTTCTGCGACTTTCCTCCGATGATCGCCTTCTTCGCCTTCACCAACGACTGCTTCATCATCTTAACAATCGATGGCTTCTGACTCTTCACCGGAACATCTTCCTTCAAAACATCATCCTCTGTCTCTGTAGTCTTCGTTTCCTTTTCTTCCTTATCGCATTCTGCATTTCCAACGTCAATCTTCGCTTCATCTGCATTGCTTTTGGTTGCCTCCACACTTTCATCCAATACTTTGTCGATTTGCTTCTCTTCCTCGACTTTAGCTTCAGCATCTTTCTCGAGTTCTTTAACAGCTGCATTCGACTCCAGTTCAGCTTCCTTTTCTACGGGCGCAACTTCTGGAATATTCTTATCAATCTGCTCGACAACCTCAGATTCTTCCGCCCCTTTTTCCTCGACTGCTTCAACAATGTCTGTAGGCACTTCCTTCACTTGTGTCTCAACAGCCTTGGCCGGTGTCGATTCTTCCTCTACTTTTACATCAGTTTGTCCTGAAATGCTAACGGTATCCGGTTCAGCAACAGCTGCCTTTGCAACTTCTTCTTTGCCTTTATCAAGATGCTCCACAATTGGCGCATCCTTGATTTTCTTTTCCTCTACTATTGGAGGCTCCGCAGGCTTATCTTCTAGCTTATTTTCGGTTAATTCAGCAACCTCAGTTTTCTTTGGATCTTTGGCTAGAGAAGGCTCCACAGATATGTCTTCGATCTTTTTAACGGACAGATCTGCCGAAGGCTCAACTAGCTTGCTTTCGATCTTCTCTTCAGAAAGTGGCTCAACTGGCTCGCTTTCAATCTTATCTTCAGCCAGTGGCTCAAGTTCCGTGCTTTTGATCTTTTCTTCAACCGGTTGCTCAACTTCCGCGCTTTTGATCTTTTCTTCAACCGGTTGCTCAACTATCTTGCTTTCGATCTTTTCTTCAGCCGATCCAATGGAAGGCTCAACTATCTTGCTTTCGATCTTTTCCTCAATTGTCTTGCTATCGATATTTTCTTCAGCTGTTTCGGCCAAAGGCTCAACTGTCTTGCTATCAATCTTTTCTTCAGCTGTTTCGGCCAAAGGCTCAACTGTCTTGCTATCAATCTTTTCTTCAGCTGTTTCGGCCAAAGGCTCAACTGTCTTGCTATCAATCTTTTCTTCAGCTGTTTCGGCCAAAGGCTCAACTGTCTTGCTATCAATCTTTTCTTCAGCTGTTTCAGCCAAAGGCTCAACTGTCTTACTATCGATCTTTTCTTCAGCTGTTTCAGCCAAAGGCTCAACTATCTTGCCATCGATCTTTTCTTGAGTTGTTTCGGCCAAAGGCTCAGCTATCTTGCTATCGATCTTTTCTTCAGCTGTTTCAGCCAAAGGCTCAACTATCTTGCCATCGATCTTTTCTTGAGTTGTTTCGGCCAAAGGCTCAACTGTACTATCGATCTTTTCTTCAGCTGTTTCAGCCAAAGGCTCAACTGTCTTGCCATCGATCTTTTCTTCAGCTGTTTCGGCCAAAGGCTCAACTATCTTGCCATCGATCTTTTCTTCAGCTGTTTCGGCCAAAGGCTCAACTATCTTGCCATCGATCTTTTCTTCAGCTGTTTCGGCCAAAGGCTCAACTATCTTGCCATCGATCTTTTCTTCAGTTGTTTCGGCCAAAGGTTCAACTATCTTGCTTTCGATCTTTTCTTGAGCTGGTTCAGCCGATGGAGCAGCCTCAGTCTTCGTCGGCTCTTCTGCTGCAGCCAGATCATCTTCAACCTTGTTTACCGCCAAGTTAGCTTCGCCATCATCCTTCGGCTTCTCATCCACTTCAACAACTTTTACTTCTTCGACCGCAGGAGGCTCGACTTGTTTTACTTCTGCCTTTACTTCTGGTTCAGCGGGACATGGTGATTCCTCTGCTTCTACCTTCTTCACCTCTGCCTCCATTTTCCCCTCAACTCCCTGCATAACACAGAATCAGAAATCACTGTAAGAATACACCATAGCCATGGAGATCATTCTCAGTTGCCACAAATTGCAGTTCTTGAAAATTCCAACTATGAAGAAACATTGATATACCAAACAATTCTTACACCACTTATCCAATTCAAACTAGTGCTAAAAAAGTGATCTTTTTTATTTTTTATTTTTCACAAATCAAGATTGAAGTTAGATCAGCTCACAAACCCTTAATGTTCTAATCAAACCCTTGAGGAAAAATGATCAAGACAAGCCAAGTATGCAATAAGTACTTCAAATATAAACAAGTTAAACTCCAAATGAAAGCAATCATGAATCAAACAAATTAAAAAATAGAAAAATACAACAAGAAGTTAAATAAACACAGACCTGAGAGTGAGCTTGATTCTCAAGAGCCATGTAAGAAGAGTAGTGACTGGAAGCAGAAAAAGAAAGGAAGAAGATCCCTTGCTACAGGTAAACTAAAGAAATAAATTTGGAAGCAAATAAAGGGAAAGGGAGAAAAAAGGGGGAAAGAATGAAGTGGTTGGCAGCAACCCACAATTGAATAAAAATTGGAGGGCTCAATAGCCAAAGAAAAGGAAATAAAAAAATAAAAAAAAGATAAATTAAATTTATAAAAAAAAAAAAAAAAAAAAAGAAAAAGGAAAACACTGAACAAAAGTAGAACCACACTACCACTTGCACACATTTTATCATCACATGATGGCTGATCTGATCTGTCAGCACACCACTAATTGGAATTCCTTCCAAAAGAAATACAGCTAAAATAAAATATAAAAGTTTTTAATTTTTTTTTTTAAAAAAAGATGATAATAATTGAACTAAAATGAGATGAGAGAGGGCATGATGTTGAAAATATTTTCTTATATATATATATATATATATATATGATAATATGAATACTTGCTGTCATTGCAAAAAGTGACAAGCTTTATTATGGGGACCATCTGGTGTGTTATGAGGTGGGCTTCTCTTCTTCTGCTTTGTTTGGAGGGACAACACTTGTCTGTTCTTGTTGTGTTATGGCCAAATCCAGATGTGTAATCATAATATTATTAATATTTCTGATCATATATTCCTATTCATAGTTTAATATTCTCATTTGTTGTTCTAAGTTTACATCTGATCTGCTGTAATTTAATCTTATCATGTTTGTAATGAGAAAGGTTATTGGCATAAGTAACTGGATTACGAAACTATGTTGTGCTGATTATTGGAGCTGTGAAATAAATAAATTGTTCGGAATTGATGGACTTGAATGTAAATAAAAAATTTAGCATATTATGTTCATGAACTATCTTTATTAAGGGTGAGTTTGTTTCTCGGAATTTTTAGAATTTTCATATTTAAAATGTTATATTTTATCAAACATTATATCATTTTTTAAATTTATAATTTTATCATTCAAAATACAAACTTCCAACCAAATACAAAGTTTTAATTAATATTTATATATTTAATATATATTTTTATAGTATCATCTTAACTGTAATTTTTATACAAAATTTAGTAATGAATAATAATAATAATAAAGAAATAAATAATTGGTTTTAAATAAAATAAAAAAATCACTTAACAAGTCGAATTAAACTAAAAATTAACAAAAAATTTGCTTAATCAATCTTGCATCTTTTAACAAACTAATACAAGCTAAGCTTGAAGCCTCGTCAAATAGAGCTCACAACATTAAAAAATAAAAATAAAAATAAAATAAAACAAGGAAGGATTAATATATCTATTTATTAAAAACGGATGGTAATCTATTCAGTCGGAATTAATATATCTATTTACTTTTTATATGTAATTTAAAACACAAATATCGCCCTTATTAATTCGTTACTTCCCTACACAAATTAAGTTCATCAAAATATCAACAAATAATATACTATACTCCATCTGTCTCATATATTTTGGGCATATTTCTATAGATACGAGAATTCAGTTAAAGTATAATTGGTAGATAATTAAGAAATGTATCAGTAGAAATAATTATTATTTAGTAAAAATAATTATAAATTAAGATTAAGATATAAATAGTTTAATTAAGATTAAAAAAATTATAAAATTTAAAATGTATTAAAGTGGATAACCAGATTAAAAAAAAAAAAAAAAAAAAGACAGATTACGTGGAACGGACGAATATAAAAAATAGAGACAAATTATGTGGAATACAGTAAGGATATTAGTGTTTGAAGAAATGAATGATAATGTGAGATGGTGACCTACCTTGGATGCCAACAGTACTAATGCTAATCGAACTCATGCGGTTAAAATATATAAAGTTACTGTATTTTTATAAAATATTATTTTTAAATCACTGTTTAAATTGAAAATTAAAAATTCAACTGAACATATTATCTACAAATGCATGTATTTATATAATATATATTGGATTAATTGGTTATATTGTTTATTGTCCTACACCTAAAGAATAAGTAGATAATTATATTTTTATTTATTACATTTTCAATTTGAAACATATATAGTTGTTCATTTTTATAAGTATGGTACATTAATATATCTTTCATACTGAAAATTATCTATAATATGTGATGTGTGAATTATATTATGTGTATATATTTATTATATGAATATAAATAGTATTTTGTCCATCTATTATATGTAGTACTATAAGTATGACCCATAACTATATATATGAATAGTAATTCATGTCAACTTGCACTAAGTATATATGAAATTTTTAAATTTTTTTTTTTCTTTCTATTTTTTCAGTTAAGAATGTTCGAAAGCAAATTTATTTATATATATATATATACACATGTTGGCATTTTTTGTTTGATTTTGTATTTTAAAATTTAATTGTTAATTCAAATAAAATTTGATAGATACCTTATGAAAAAATTAATATATATGTTATATATTTATAGAAATAAGGATGATTATGACATTTTAGCATGATAGGTAGTTTATTAACAGTTTATTAACCATTTCAAAGATATAGAACAATTTTGAAATCTTTTAATTTTTTTAATATATATTGTATACTAATCTAAAATATTTTATAAAAATATGTATAAAAAATTTGACAAAAACTAATAATAAAAAATCTCATATAAAAAATTATATCCAATTAAAACATACAATAAACATGGGAACAAGATCTTTCAACCTTCATTGCAATTATATATATATATATATTTTTTTTTTCCTATATTTTAATTATTATTTATCTATTATTTTTTTATCCGGGTGCACTGTTGAATTGTGGAAAAAAAATGGATGAAGATAATTGAAATATATAATAAAAAAATCTTAAATTAAAATAGATTTGTTGATGTAATTTTTCAACAAAAATAAAGTAAAATTCAAAGATATAGAAAATATCCTTAAAGTTAGTGCCTGAGATTAGGAATCTCTAAACACTGTATGGTACAGAAAATAAACTGGAAAATAAAAGACTGAAATTTAAAGTGGTGATCCCCAAATCTGACTTTGCTTTGTTGAAGTTGATTGAAGATGCCTTGCCAAATGATTATCCAAGCCTTTAAATATTCTCTGGGAAACCGTACCGAAAACCGTCACCCGAACGGTTACAACGTCTCCTTCCCAACCGTCTTCCAACCCTTCTCATGCTGACACGCGTCCCCAGCAGACCAAAATTATCCCTATATTTCACTCTTTGAGCCGACCACAGACCTTCCGCTCTTTTGGCCCGACTGCCAATCTACAATAGTATGGGTCCGACTGCCAATCCTCCCGACTTGCGAACCATCTGGCTTGTTGGTTCTGCCGCAGAATTCCGATCTGAGAACTTCCCGACCTGAGGACCTCCCGACTTGCGGACTTCCCGTCCTGAAGGCCATCCGACCTGCAGACTTCCCGTCCTGAGGGCCTCCCGACCTGCGGACTTCCCGTCCTGATGACTTTCCATCTTGATGACCTCCCGACCTGAAAACCTTCCGGCTTGAGGTCTTTCCGTCTTGGGGACCTCCCGACCTGAAAACCTTCCGACTTGAGGTCTTTCCATCTTGGGGACCTCCCGACCTGAAAACCTTCCGACTTGAGGTCTTTCCGTCTTGAGGACCTCCCGACCTGAAAACCTTCCGACTTGAGGTCTTTCCGCCTTGAGGACTTCCCGACCTGAAAACCTTCCGACTTGAGGTCTTTCCGTCTTGGGGACCTCCCGACCTGAATACCTTCCGACTTGAGGTCTTTCCGTCTTGAAGACCTACCGACCTGAGGTCCTTCCGTCCTGATGACTTTCCGTCTTGAGGACCTCCCGACCTGAAGACCTTCCGACCTGAGGTCTTTCCGTCTTGGGGACCTACCGACCTGAGGTCCTTCCGTCCTGATGACTTTCCGTCTTGAGGACCTCCCGACCTGAAGACCTTCCGACCTGAGGACTTTCCTTAGAAATAAACCTATTTTCCTTGATTTCCTCATGGTGCCCTTCAGTCAGTTCAATCAACTCTATTGCCAGGCCCATTCTTCTTTTTACCTTGGGCTTTTAACCTAATTCTAAATTTCGTACGTAACAAGATTATACTTATCATCATTGGGTTTCTTAATGCTGTTCTGTTTTTAATGTACAATAATATTTGATCTGATTTTTTTATTTTTTAATATTAAGGTATGAAATTCTAAATACTTGAGAAATAAAAAACTCATATATAGAGGATTTTATCAAATAAAAGTTATTTCTAAGAATCAACAAATTGACTAAAAATTAATCCAACCAATCTTTAAGGATTCATATCAGCCCAATATAAAGCCCAAATAAAATCTATGGTCTAACTCTATCTTATCGTAGGATGGCCCAATTCTTTTTACATAACAAAGTTGTAAGAAAAATCATAATACTTTAACTTCTTAATAAGATCACGTTTAAACTACATATCCAAACAAAAATAATAATAATAATTTTTTTTTTTTTTTAAAAAAAAACTACATACCCAACTTGTAAAATATCATTAGGAATTCAGTTCATTAGTATTTGGGCTTATAATAATTGGTGCATACTTTTCTAATAGGAGTATACAATTTAAGAAATATTGACATTTAATTAATAGTAGGTGTAAAATAATGGTTAAATGCTCTTATAACAAAAAATAAAAAAAAACGTTTACACACAATTTTCTTCATTTATTATTTTAAATTCAATTAAAAAAATTATTTCAAATCAAAATAAAAAAATAAGATAATAGTTTTTTTAAAATTATAATACTTTAAAATATCGCATCAAATGTAAAATAACCAAAAAAAATAAATAGAGATAAGTATAATATACTACCTATGTCCCATAATAGTTGACGTGTTTAATTAGTGACATTGTATCTTAGAAAAATATAGTTTAATAAATTAATAATAGTTAATTATGATATTGTTTTATTTTATTTTATTTTTTTTGAGTGGTGATGTTGGTATTTTTAAAATAAAAATTAATGTGATTCAAAAAAATAGAGTATGTATTTAAATATTTTAAATATTATTTTCTCAATAATATATATACAATATAAATATCATATTGTAGAGAAATTTTTTAAGTAATATAATTAAATAAAACATATTTTTGT